AAAGATTTCTGATTTTCCTTTAGGTTCAAAATGTTTTCTCAAAATAGAAAATAAATCTGAAAAAAACTGAATTTGAAAAAAACATTTAAAAATCTGAATTTAAAGAAAAATCTGAAATCTTAAAAAAAAGTAAGATTTTTTATTTAGATTCAGATTTTTTTCTTAAAAAAGAATATATGTTTTTCTTCAAATTGATTCTTTCTTTAGATTTCCGATTTTTCTTTAGATTCTGAATTTTGTCTCAAACAATCTAATTTTTAAAACCAATTCAAATTTACTTTTTTTTAAGATTTCCGATTTTTCTTTAGATTCTGAATTTTAAAAAAAAAAAATCTAATATTTAACATATTTTTCTCTTCCTGCTAACTGCCTGCAGATGAAATGACGTAAAGGTTGAAACACGTGCAGTTAAAATCCTTAAATCTTCAGCCTCCTCCCAGACCTGGTTCAGATTGTATTGTCGTCGTCAGCGTCCTGCAAATACTTTCTCCTCACTTACCGTCAGAGATCAGAACATGAACTCTCCACTTCCTGTCCCTGAAGAGTCTGGTTTTTGCAGGACACTTCTTCTAAATCTTATTCAACAATCAGCCAACTGAAGCCACACATGATGATGAAGTTATGGGGGAAGTTCCTCTCATGAACTGGGGGGTTTCTTAGGTCAGAGGTTGCTGGTTCAAATCCCTGCATGTAGTTTATAACCTGGTGGTTCAGCAGGAGAACTTTCAAAACTGGACAATTAGCAACTCATTGGGTTTAGTTGCTTTGAGTTTTTTATTAAAATCTCTGCAGCATTCAGGGTATCTTTTCTGTGTTCCTTAGACCAAATTAAGACAATAAGGACTACATTTCCCATGATGCTTTGGGAAGTGTTGCTATGGATTCAGTGAGTTATACTGCACCTATTTTCGTTTAATAATTACGTTCCCATACAAGTAAAATGTCATTGTCGATTAACGTTTGTTTTTCACGTCTCACACATTTATTGCGTAAGGAAAAGGTGGAGGTCGGACAAAAGTCGACGTTGACTCAATTTAATTAAATCCATAACATAACAAACAAATCTATTTAAAACCAAAGTCGCATGCTTTTTCTAAACCCTATCAGGTTCTTTAAAATGTGTTTGGTTTCAATTTACAACATTAAAACAAGCTCAAAAGTAATCTTGGCAAATGTGATGAATCTCGAGCAGCTTCTGCACGATCTATTTCTACGTCAGAAATAGTGATCTCCTCAGAAAGTGGAACTAAATGTGTTTCCTATCTGGATGAATCCTAACACTGATATTTACAACTGTAGCACCAGCCGGCATCTGTGTCGACTTGAAGACGCCCCCCAGTTCAGAGAGTAGGGAGGGGAGGGGGTTATTATATATATAAGTGAGGGAGGGGGTTATTCGAGAGATTTCTTACCTGTGGGACCCCGATTTTCCTGCAAGCGTCCAGAAAGTTCTCCACATTTCTCCGACACTTAGCCATGCTGAGTTTGGGCTGCAACGACCAGGAAACACTTTTCAAATCAACATGTTTAAATCTCAATTATTAAAGATACACGACCGTATTCACCTGATCGTGAGACGACCCACTCTTTTTCAAGAGTTTTCATTTTTTGAAAAATGAAAAATACCTTTTTGTTTTTATAAAGAAAATAAATGTATTTGAAAATAATGATAACACACATCACACAGTGTTCAAATGTTGCAGACCGCTGAGTGCTTTTCTCTGACTGTTTACATTTTTAAGATGGTCTTTTCGGGCTCTCCATCTTCTAACGTTACTCTCAGTAACTCCATATTTCTTTGCTGCTCGACGACTCTGCTTCGTTGATCACCATTATCTTAAAATTGGTATCGTAACATCGCCTCTCTTGTTTATTAACTTGCCTACTTTTGAGCATCTTCAGTTCCGTCCCAGTGGTCTTCGGAGGATCGAGGAACCAGGAGACCATCCTCCGGTGAAATCCTCAGACACTCGCCCCGCCCCCTTACTGTGTATCGCTCACTGATTGGACGATGCAGCGCATGCACTGATCTGGCTGCTGTCAGACGATCAGCTGTGCGGCGTCATCACAAACGGACGTCGCTTCACGTGACGCTGCGGAGGAAACAACGTCCCATTGCTCTTGAAACTAATTTGTTTTTGCGGACCTCTTTGATTACAGATTTGAAAACATCGTTGCTTGCTTTAAAAGTAGCACAATTCATTATGTCAAACCTTGGAAAGTATCTAGATATCCCTGCCCTAATGCCAAAGGAACTGCACACTGAATATGTTTTGCCGTTTGATGTCTATGTCTGGACCGCTGCGTAAAAAGGAGGGCTTCTGCCCCGTTACTTCTCCGCTGCTTTCTTGTTCCA